GTCAGTTATGGCATGAGCCTTAGAATGTTGACATCAGTGGTCTGTCACCCTGACTACCTCAGAGTGCTCAGACTTCAGTAGTTGGTCTACCAACTGCTGTGGCCATCTTTGGTGTTTACTGCCAAGAAGGGAAAAGATAATTTCAAGTTCATTGAAAGGTTCTCCATTCCAGGCGCCACTGTAAAGGTATTTTTAATAAGTAGTTTTGATCCTCATGATAGACTAATGGCATCAGGATCTATTCTCTCTCTCTCTCTCTCTGTCTCTTTCTGTATCTCACTCTCTCTCTGTCTCTCTCTCTCCTCTTTCTGTCATATCTATATCTATCTATCTATCTATCTATCTATCTATCTATCTATCTATCTACCTACCTATCCATCTATCATCTATCTATAAATATGTTTGCCAGTTACATCTATCTATCTATCTATCTATCTATCTATCTATCATCTATCTATCTATCTATCTATCTATCTATCTATCTATCTATCTAACTATCTATCTGCCTATATTTATGCCTGTCTGATATCTATCTATCTATTATCTATCTATCTATCTATCTATCTATCTATCTATCTATCTATCTATCATCTATCTATCTATCAATCATCTATCTATCTATCTATCTATCTATCTATCTATCTATCTATCTATCTATCTATCTATCTATCTATGTATCTATCTATCTATGTATCTATCTATCTATCTATCTATCTATCTATCTATCTATCTATCTATCTATCTACCTCTCAATCTATGCTTATGAAAATCTGTTGTTCCTTACACACACTTGTGGTTCAACAGTTTCTCAAAAATAATTTTTCAAAGCCAAAAGGTGGAAGGAAATAAATATGTCACTTTGTCAGTTATGGCATGAGCCTTAGAATGTTGACATCAGTGGTCTGTCACCCTGACTACCTCAGAGTGCTGAGACTTCAGTAGTTGGTCTACCAACTGCTGTGGCCATCTTTGGTGTTTAGTGCCAAGAAAGAAAAAGATAATTTCAAGTTCATTGAAAGGTTCTCCATTCCAGGCTCTACTGTAAAGGTATTTCTAATAAGTAGTTTTGATTTTTCATGATAACTAGTGGTATGAGGTATTCTGTCTTGATTCCTGCAGATCGTGTGAGCCAATTCTTAACTCAGCCATGGTTTTATGGAAAGCTACCCATGTTAGTAATATTCACTACCAATCCCCTAAATAAATATGGTTATCATGTCAGGGGAGGTATGTTCTAGGCTACACATGAGAATAGTATCTGTAAATCTACAAAATTATCTGTCCAAGTTATGAGAGATGGTTATATTCTGATCCTTCTAATTGTTTTACCCACTATGACCACAAAGTTTTATTGGAAATGATCAGATTTCAACCCAAAATATAAAAACTCTCTGGTTTTCAGCAAAATGTAATGGTTTCCAACATATATTGTGTTCTTTAGAATCTGTTTCCCCATATTTTAACATTGATTCAGATTAGACAGGAATGACTTTCCAAACATGTCATTTACTTTCAAATTTGTTTATCATGAAACTGAGTTGGTACTATTTTTTAATTTATGTTTATATGTGTGGGGACATGTGCTTGACATGTGTGAGGACAACCATTGGCTGTTTGATTCTCTCTTTGATGCTTTGATTTACGGGTTTTTTTGTTTGTTTGTTTGTTTGTTTTGAGACAGGGTTTCTCTGTGTAGCTTTGTGCCTTTCCTGGGACTCACTTGGTAGTCCAGGCTGGCCTCGAACTCACAGAGATCCACCTGGCTCTGCCTCCCGAGTGCTGGGATTAAAGGTGTGCGCCACCACCGCCCGGCTATTTACAGGTATCTTAAAGCTAAATGAAAGCTATGGTATTTCTATGCATATTCCTTAAAGAGATAACATATGTCTTGGGAAGAATAATACTCACTTGAAGAACTATATATTTTGAATATTCAAACTCTGTGAGCATGGCACAGTAAAGAAACCACTGAAAATGCTGCTCCATAATTGCAGGGGAGAATTTTATTGTGGATAAGAGAGAATGTTCAGAGGCATCTGGAAGAGTTCAGAGCAGAAATAAAAAGAAACAGACTTGATGTGACCAAAACAGTCTGTGAGAGAAGGGAGAACAGCAAAAGAGAGTAGTGGAGATGCCTGGGGCAGGGAGGAAATATCTAGACCTCCTAAAGAGAGCAAGGGGAGTTCTAGAACATTTTGGGAGTCTGCATAGTTCAGAAGGAGGTGGGGTGGTTGTGAAGGGACAGGAAAGTAGATGGGGCTGTGAGATATTTAGCAAGTACTTTTGAATCGAGACACAGGGAACCTGGAAGGCAGCATGGATGTTGATAGCAGCCACAGGTCATTGGAGAGCCATATGTCCCTTTTGCCAGAGGCAACGGAAATGACTCCTTCTGCTGTTCGAGAACCATTTTACAAATTCTGGATGAATGCTAATTTTTGTTTTTGTTTGTTTGTTTGGTTTTGTTTTGTTGTTATCTAACTACCGGAGATCCTTGACTGACATGTCTGGATATGTTTGCTCCCTGACTTGTTTAAATCATTAGGAAAAACCTTTTTTTTTATATATATATATTTCTTTCATATCTGTTTATGACAGCCTACAAAGAAATGGGTGAATTATGGCATTTCAATACATAGATTATTATTTGTTTTCTTTACCACATTCCAACATCAGTCATTTTCAAATGGAATTTCACAGCAGAAAATCTTTATAAAGAACTTTACAATTTGATAGAGTTTTGCTATCTTAATTAGTACCATACAACTACACATATCAGTGAAAATACACATTTTGCAGAAAATACAATCTATTACTATCACCAAAATTAAATCATTTTAAAGACATGGGCATTCTAGTCTTACATGATCTTTCTATGATTATTATGTGTCCAAGGTATACTACATAATGAACTATGAGATTTACACAGCATCTTCTAGGTTGTTTCAGTCACAATCCTTTGTGCCTCTAGGCTTTACTTCTTCTAAGCATGCACCTCTCCTCCATAGTCTTCAAAGCTACCTGACTTACCTGTGCATGCAGCTTTCTGACTGTCTCGCTAAGGTACATTTGTCTATAAAGACTCCTGTGATTCTTGCATCTGTTAGACTCTAACGTTCATAGTGTTAATGATGTCTGCATGCTGCTTTTATCACACGGACCTTTGATAGGTTAAAAGAATTAGGATTGAGAGTCTTTGGGGATAAATCTGCATTTCATAAAGTTTTGCACAAGAATTCCTCCTATTATTGCACACATATTATTGCAGTTAGGGTTGGCAATGACATCCAAGTTGCTACTCCAATGGCCATTTTTCAGGAGTCACCTACTTCTGCCCTCATTTAATGTTAGACATTGATCTCTCCTTTCTTGTGAATCCCTCTAGCGTGTGAATATTTCCTCTCTCCAACAGGATGCCTTGCAATGTGTTACTACTTTTATTTTTAAATCATGAATAATGTTGGTGAATCCAATTTTTTTTTTAAAAAATTGATATTTTTTATGTTCAATTTTTAAAATGATTTAAAATGAGTAAGAATTACATCCCTCAGTCCTTTCCTCACTCTAGACTAGTGGTTTTCAACCTGTGGGTAGCGACTCCCTTTGGGATCCCTTTTCAGATAGTCTGCATATCAGATATTCACATTAGGATCCATAACAGTAGCAAAATTACAGTGATGAAGTAGTAATGAAATAATTGTACAGTTGGGTGTCCACAACATGAAGAACTGTACTGAAGGGATGCATCATTAGAAAGGTGGAGAACCACTTCTCTAGACCCTACCAGCTACCCTTGTTCAGACTGTTCCCAGGCCCCTAAGTTGATAACTTCTGGAAGAGCCCCCTCCTGCAGTCTGTTCCCATTGCTTCCTTTCCTAAGCAACCTTAAAACTGTTGATAACTCAACAGAGTCCTGTTGGAGAACTGAGCCTGTGTTTTAATATCATTCACCCTTTGAATTTAGGTATCAATTAACAACCACTGAATACCTGTTCTGTTAGTTGGAGATCTGGACCAGGAGAAGCCTTTTTTTCCTACATGGAAACCCTTGAGGAGAAAGCCATGGGAGGGATACATCGAACCTTGCTGTGCCAAGGCCCCGTGGAACTCAGAAGAGGCTGGAGAAGGAAGAAACAACATCTCTCCTTGTTCAGTGATGTTTTGATTGTATCTAATAACCTGTGAGTATGTGCATTGTGCCTTCCTTACTATGAGAGGCTACACTTTGATTAGGCCTTCCTGTTCAAAACCACAAAAGTTTTATTTATTCTTTTTTATTTTTTGAGATTATAAATACTTCATTATCATCTCCTTTTTCCCTTTGCACTTGACAAGTCCTCCCATATTCCCCCTCTTGCTCTCTTTGAAAATCATGGCTTCTTTTTTATTAATTGTTATTACATATAAATGTATATTAAGATATATGTATGTATATATACAATACATATGTATTTTTAGCTGTACATATATTAGACGCTTGTATATGTGTTTTCAGGGCTGTCTATATGCTGTTGGGTAACCAATTGTTCTGCTGTTTGATCCTGGGGAACGAATAGCAACAAACTTGAAAAGGAGGCAGGTGTGGTAGCACATGCCAGGAATTCCAGCACTTTGGAAGCTGATTTATGAGTATTGCAAATTTGTGGATCTTGTGGAGACATCTTCTCAAAGAAAATTTATAAATCATGATAATCAGGGGCCCTCTTGCTTGCTGTTTACAGACAGATTGTAGATGCAAGAGGGGAAATCCCTGATTATGATGGTTGCTCATAAGGGGCCACACATGTGAACCTCTGTGATCTCATAACTTCCAAAGCAGTATGGAGAGATGAGAAGCAGCTACTGTCCCTAAACCAATCAGGGGAAACTTAGACATCAACTAGGTCCAGCATGGTGATCATGTGGATGATATAGGAAACTACTGTGATTGAAGCTTTATGCATGGTGGTATTGTCACATAGAACTGTGGAGGTATTTTCTGTGATCACCTCTCCAGAGGATCATAGCCTTCATATTACTCTGAAAGGCATGAAATAGGTACTGGTCTTATCAAGTAAACATTTTAAGGGTGTGTTCTCATAAAGACATAAGTAGACTGGAGGACAGGCATCAATAGAACAGTTCACTCAGTTTTGGGGGTAAACTTCCTAGTCATCAGTGATTAATATTGCTGAAGATCTACTTCACAAATGGTGAGAAGAAGGAAGGGTGCTGGAGAGAGTTCTGCTCTACATTCTAGACACAACCAACTGGATCCATTTCTTTTCAACCCTGAACAGTCCCCCAAAGTTCCCAGTCTAGACACTGATGGTCAGTTAGTGTCCAACAGCGGCAAGAATGAAACGATTGAATGACCTGGCTGTCCACCAACCTGTCCATCTTCCTTATCATTTCTCCTCAGCACCCCTTCATGCCACGGTTGGAAATCCTCATATTTTAATCTGAAAAGATAGTAATAAACTCATTTGAAATAAATAAAACATACTGATAATTTCCCATATGAATGTAATTTGTGAATGTAAGTGAAATTCACTGAGTTTTTTGAGAATAAATAAAAGTAAAATGGTTGACTTTCCTAAAAGACAAAGTTGTTGTTCCACTTCTGTTGTGTGACAATGGTAACTAAAACTATTTTGAGATTGTCGTTCATATTAAGGAAAGAGGATTATCAAGCTTATGAGATCATTTTCATTATTTACGTTTTCAAGGCAGATTATCCCTTAACACCAATATAAGAATTAGAGGTTTCTAGTTTAAGCATTTCATTATATATATATATATATATATATGTATATGTATATGTATATAGTATATATATAATAATTGTGTATTGATATATATGTAGTTAGGTGTCTCGGGGGTGCAAAGCAAATGGAAATACAGATGTTTCATATATTTGAGACATATGTGTATGTGAAACCTGAAATGAATGTTACATGCTATACTTGCATTTTGACTAGAGAATGTTCCATTATATGGGGTGGGCCTTCTTTCATGGGAGTATCATATTAGTCTTCAGATGTATTGAATTTGAGAAGATTTACATGTAGGGTTTTTGAGGTTATACTTATAACAAAGTGTCCTTGGAATCTGAGAGAGAGCGAGTCATTATCTTCAATTATGTAGCCACCTATTAGCTCACTAGTCTCCAATGGAGAGTTCCATGTCCAGGTTCACACCAAAAAATGCCCCAGGGAAAACACAGACAATCATTAAAAAAAATACAAAAAAGTATGGGTGTGGGAAGGAGAGTGGTCAATAGATAGAAGGGAAAGAAGATAGAGTAATAGAAAATAATCAGAACACATTGAATACACATGTGAAATTATCAAAGAACAAGCTCCATATAAAAAGAGCAAAGAAAGAAAGAAAATTAGTGCTCCCAAGACAATTGTTTCTCAAGAACACTTTTGATAGCATCAAAAGACTTGATAGAAATACATATTTGTAATCATTTGACTAGGTTATTAGAGAACAGAATCTTCTACATGGTTAGTTGTATGAGAAGTACATCATGGGTTTACTAAAAGAACAATTGTACTGAGCTCAGACTCTCCTGAGCAATTGCTCACATGACTTACCAGGACAGGTAGAGGGACAATAGAATATGAATTTTATTCAGTTAGGCAGTATTTCTATATTTTTTATTTGGAAAAGATCATTAAATGTAATTATTTGAGTACAATATAAAATATTTAACTCATTTTCTTGCTATTGAAGTTATGGAAGTAAACAAGCAGAAAAGTTTAGCACTTAACTAAATAGGGGGGAGAAGTATTGAAGTGCATTGTTTTATAAAAATGCCGTGTCTTTAAAATACACAGTATGGTCATTCTAAACACTCACCAATCAGAAAAAAAGACCAGACTATGGCTATTCTTGGCCATTGAAAAATGTGAACCTCATAACTTCTTTCAGCACAAGCGTTGCTGAGGTGCATCTATTATGGCATGAGCTCTGCCTGTGTGATAGAAATGGATGAGTCCTCCTCTGCTCTGGAGCAGGAAGAACTAGGCCTTACCACAAGTAATTCCCACTGCAATGAAAAGCAAACTAACAAATTGCCTTGATTCTCTCTCTAGGCATAAGAGAAACTTTAAGATGAAATATGTTATCCCACTGAGTTATCTGTGGATGGGTGACTATGTGGACATAGTTGGGACAGACAACAGCTCTGCTTGCAAGTCGATTCTCCTGTCCTGGCCCATGGGAAATTTTGTGGCTACTTTTCGGTAAGACCTACAGCTTGGACTTCTATTCACAAGAGGCTGGCTGTGGAAACTTAATTGTGGGTCAACTTAATGCTGTTTAATTCACAGGGGAAAAAAATCAAATCAATGAACCAACATGTTTACAGATTAAGAAACCATGTTAGTCTGATTGTATACAGGCTGCCAACTCAAGTTTTTTCCTCCTATGATGAACCTAGTTTGTACTTTCCACCACACACATTTCTTCATGGAACTAGACTGCTTAGATTTTCACCTGTGATGTTCATCAGGACTCAACAAGATCCTTGGGGTAGAAATGAGGTCATCCTGTTCTTTGAAGGATATGGACAGGACAAAGCCTCACTCCATTCCCCACATTCTTCTTCCCCAACTGATCTGATATTCTCTGGGTTTTGAAAGTACACAAATTGATCTCACTCCAATGGTATTGTGTAGTATAAATTTTAAAATTACCTCCTACACTCCCAAGTTAATTTCCTAAAAAATATATAATATTTAACCATACATATAAACCTAGTTACTCATTAAAAGCTCAGATTCTTGAGTGTTTGTGTAGTGGAGTATCATTGGTGTCTATAGTCAACACATGAGGACCAGTGTCATTAGACCATCAGAGTCAGAGTTATTTTGTGGAGTGCAGGTAAATGTCGAATTCACATTCTTATCTTTCATGAGATGATCTGATCATAGTGTACCAAGAATACCTTGATTGTATTCATTGGAATCACTGGGATAGTGTAGCATACACCTGCTGTGGGAAAGCATACAGCAGCATTCATCTTTCTTTTCCACATGAAGAGTTCATCATATACAATCCCCCCAATTTGGACTCTTCTCATTAATCTGTCCAAACTTCTAGCCTCATTCCAGAGTTTACTCAACTAACATAAACATTTGTAAGTTTTATAAACTTTCTGGTTATGTGAGTTTGCTCTTTACCTGAGAAAAACATTTCCACAGAACTCTTTGAGGAAGAAGATCATCTTTGTGTCATTCTTTAAATACACTCTTTCCCCTTGTTAATATTCCTGAAGATTATCTATAGTTAATGCTTAGTGTTTCTCCCACATTGAATATGAGAGGAAGTACTGTAATTAGGGATTTATGAAGAGTTTCATGACAGCATTTCCATTAAACTTTTCTTTTCATGAAGGAGTGAAATTCGGAAGTCATATTTAGACTAGTTCACATTCAGTTGAATGTGTATCAGTGTCTTCAGCCAGCACATCACTAAGTGTCTTAAAATTCCTGCTGTGTCACTTTTGTAACTGGTGACATTAGATGATTACGTAGACAACAGTCTATGTACATGTGAAGGTTGGGAATCACAGGCACAATCCACCCTTCTGATGAAACTGGTTGCAGGCAGAATATAAAGTGGATGAGCAGGTAATTGTAGAAACATGAAATGTGTTGGTCTTTGGGCAAAAATCAGTCTATAGTTCCACAGAAAGTTACATGGAATTTCCATATGACTGCAGCTCCAAACATGGATGTAGAACCATTGAAAAAAGGAGAAGAAAAGTCTGCACAAAAATCTTCTTCACAGCACGGATCATTCATTATATTCAGAATGTAGAAACAACTCACATATTAAACTTATGAATGGAAAAACAATATATGGCACAGGGATGTGGGCAAAGGGAAATAAAACTAGTGAGATGCACGGCCAGCCTCCACACTATAGTGAACTTCTTATCATGAAAGATTTCCAGTGAAATAACAGGTCAATCAGAATCCCAGTCATATGGAGAATGCCACCTACACCTGCACTCTCATTGATGACAACTGTCTTATAATATTTTTTATGAGGAATAGTCTTAAAAATCTTTGCATAAGTGTTTCAAGAGTCTAATTTGTTTTTCACTTTTTATATTACAGTTCCATGGAACAGAAAGATTGGTGGTATTTTTATCTTCAAAGGTATCTTACTAGTATTCATATTTTAATTCCTTGGTGGTATAGGAATATAGGAATGGTAGTCTGTGATATACATAATCTGATAGATTGTCTCCAAATGTGGTGTTGATTAGATGATCCCTGACTACTGTTTCATTCTCTCCTGTTAATATGCATATTTTGTTTAATTTTGAGGAAGTCCTGCTTGCCATGCTCTTCACCATCTCCTCTTTAATCTATATATTGGGGTAAACTGTACTCCCAGACTTATTTTAAACTCCCACCAATACAGGTTATGCTATCATCCACATGCAAATTATCTGCTGCTTCCAATTTTGAAATTAAGCAAGTTCCTGCCCTTCTCTGTCACACAAAACAATTGAGGACTGGATATGCTTCCACAATCACATCTTAGGGCAATGTGCTATTACCTATGGGAGGCCAGCTCCCACCTTTTAAAGGGTTCCTATTAGGAGGAGAGATGGATAAGAAAATATTAGATAGAAAGATAGTGAAGAGGAGAAAGACAGAAACATAGGATATTTTCAGGAGGATCTAGATCAAAACCCACCAGCCCCTTCTGCCTCTTCAAAAGGGACTTTTATAATGGTGTCAAGGGGCAGAGCAAAAGACCTCCTCTTTGCTAGATCAAAGCACACCACCCAGCCAAGTGTAGACCCTTCCCAATACCTGGTAACCACGCCTGTGGCCAAATCATCGCCTTATGTAGCCCTGCTGGGTAAAGCAAGTACAAATTCTTGGACCCTGAGTAAGTTCTTACTAGGAAACCTCTGTGGTTCTCTACTGCTCCCACTTCTTAATACATTAAAGGGCCCCTCAGACCCCTCAGATGGACTGTGCCTGCCTTAGGTCCTCCTTCTTTAGTAATCTTCTTTACCCATCATGGAGATACACTTCCCATCAAGCATACTCTGTCATCCGTTAGCAGCTAGCAAGAACTTGACCCATCCCTGAATACCAGCCTTTGGAAGGGGGAAGTACAAAGCTTAACTCAGCTCGGACTCAAGTCCCTACTAGGAGCTGCAAGTAGTTCTAATAACCACAGCAATCCCTATGGCTGCCACACACCCCCAGGAAAGGAGTAGAGGATGACCAAGATGGAATGTCCTTTTTGTATGGGTCAAGATGTTTATAACAGCCTTAGCTGTGCTAAGCCCTTTTTTAAATCAATAAACTCTTGATGCAAAGGCATCAA